CAAATATTAACCAGATTTTATGTTAATCCAGGTCCACATAACTTTATGTTAAGTTATGTTAACTAATTTGTAATTATAACAACATTTTGTAGATTTTACAAAATACTATGTCAATAATTTAATCATAATTCTTGTAATTTTCAAAAAATTGTGAATTTTTTAAAGAAATGTTGCATTATTAATCAATGAATTCAAAAATAACATACACAATTATCAGTACTACTACAACAATTACTGATGTAACTTTAACCCACTTCACTGAATCCCCTAATTTCGTATACTTCGCACACTCGTTAAATAGGTATAAGGAATCCGAATAACAATAATAACAGATTTCTGGTAATATATTATAAACCCTCTGGACAGTTGTTACGAACACGTTAGAATTGGAATAAAGTAAGCAGACACATAAGTTGCAGACGCTGAAGGCGGTTGAACTTGTTGATGCGTATTGTCAGTGGGAAATGTTTTGATTGACCGCCTGAAATCACGTGTACTTTTTCAACGAAATAATTTGTTAAACATTAACAAAATAATCTGTAACCTTTGAAATTAGAAATCCTGGCATTTTACAAAAACTTATGTTAAAATTTTACAAAATAAAATTAAAAAACTAAAAACTCATTTTAACGTATCTGATTTTTATAACAGTGTACTCTCTAAAAATGAAATAGTCAAAATTCTACTATTTGAATTAGTACCAGCACTTTTAACTAATAAAATAGTTATTTTTTACTACGTAAATAGTTAAAGTTTGACTAATTTAAGATTAGTCACCATCTTTGACTATTTCTAAGAGTTAAAAGTAACAAATTTCTTTAATCGTTTGCGGCCAACAACAAAGTATTATTTGAATTAAATGCATATACCTAAGCTCCATGGTTAAATGACCCATAAAAACAAATAAAGATGCAAGAAGTTTAGCTCAAAACAGCAACACAAATAATATATTCAACTTTAAAATAGTATGAACAATATTTATTGACAAATAAAATTGATTTTTATAAGAGCGGCTGATAGCCGAATGGGTTATGACAACAGCTTGACAAGTGACAGACCTGAGTTCAATCCCAGGCTGGGTCAAAACTTTTTTTAAATTTAAATCTACTAATTTGACTATTTCATTCAGTAGAATTTGACAAATTATTAGGGACTGCTTTTTCGCTATGAAAATTTAAGAGAGTAGAGAAATATTATTGGTGACATTTCATAATTTTCGCTGATATCACGTAGTTTTATCTTAATTTCGTAATTTACCTTTAGCGGCGTATTCTCTATTAACGCAGCGTCTCATAATTCTAATTGGGCCGAAACTATGGGCATTATTAATTAAGCTAATCGGAATAACGTATTCGGCGTGTCTTTCAAGGAACGTGGTAACGGTAAGCGAATATGGAATTCGATGCGAAATAAAGCACATTTCTGCCGAGCTGCTTCGCTAACGGAAAATGCCTTACGAAGTCCACTCTATTCGCGGGATTTTGCTGCGAGATAAGGAAAAGTTAGATGTTGTTTTAATATCGTTTTCTGTAAAACGTAACGCTAAATATAAAGTTTCTTAATAAATTATGACAAATCGTGAAATAGCATAGAAACAAATAAAACAAACACAAATTTGTTAAAATGTAAAAATAATGGAATAATTAAAACAATGAAATAATAATTTATTCTGTAATAAGTTTGGAATATGCAATTCCAAATGTGTTTCAGGCTATACTTTTTCTATGTTTCTAAAATATACCATTAACAAATAATTTAAATAAGAGAAAATGAGGTTGGATCGGTCTTAAAATTGTTAGATAATAAACAAAGAGATGGCGCCACCAGTGTTTATTTCGTCATCCGATGATAGAATGAAGTCATTCTGCAACACTTTACGGAATATATTCAAATCCACATTAAAAAGTGATATTAGAACCGTCCTATTTCGTAATAAGAGTAGAAAAATATAATTCTGACAAAAATATTTATTTAAAAGTATCTTATGTATGGGTATCTTTTTTATTTAAAAAGTTGCGTAATTTCAAGTTTTTAAAATTGCGTTCGAAAATTACCCGTTTCACGGGTAAACATACACATTTATCTACATTTTCATCCAATTTTAGATTTTTTTTCGTCCACTAGATTTTGAGTTGCCACCACCATCTTTTGTTTTTTTTTACTTATGGAATATTGGAATTTTACAATGTATCTATAGATAGAAAAAAAATCAAAGATTCCAACGATGTATCAAACTTACTACATAAGTTATGGCGGCCAATATAAAAACAAAAGAATGTGATGGTAACTCAAAATATAGGAGCGAAGAAATTTTATGAAAATGTAGATTAAATAATTTTTTACAAAATTCCCAGAAATAATATATAATATAAAGATTTTTGATTTTGAGGTTTTTATTTTTTTTTGAAATACTTTAAGACCCGCTTTTTTTCTATTTTCAAATTAAATTTTAATAGGCTTGTAATATCGCAACTTCTCGAAAAATGACTCTTTATTAATGTAAAAAAATAATTAAAACCTATAAAATACTCGTAGATAATATTGAAAAAAATATAAAAAAATCAAAGAAAATCCACACAAATTTATCAAAAATCTTATAAAATAAAAAAATATAGGCAAAAAGCAGCATGAATAAAAAACATAAAAACAAAAAAAAAAAATGTAAGAAAAAATATTATAAAATTACTATTTAATCTTCAAAATATTTAAAATTTAAATAAATACTGTAATGTTCAGGCATATTTTATAAAAAACATAAATAATATGGATTGTTTTAAATAATATCATCCAAAAATATCAAAAACCTATTAATAACATCATAATTATGGAAAATTATATGAAATAACAAATTATAAATTAATAGTAGTATTTATTATAACAAATTTATGGAAAAATATACAAATATCATAAAAAACATTAAATTAAATATAGATTTTTAGAACAAGCATTAAAAATAATACAAAAATATTAAAAACATAAAATTAGAAAAAATTATATAAAAATTGTTATTAGAACCACACATCAAATTATAAAAAATATAAAAATATATATATATAAAAAAAATAGAAAAATGTAAGCAGTTCTACGACCGCTAGAAAATAAATCTTTTCATTTGTAAGGGAAAATATTGAATGAAAAGTGAAGTATCTGCATAAAAAGAAAGTCTGATTTCTAAAAAGTGAGGTTAAAACCGCTCGTCAGGTGAAATGTCAAATAATATTGGCTTTAAATTATAAAATTTCTGCTTTGTGTTCGTTGTAAAAAAAGCATTTCGGGTGGAGTGCCCATAAAACACTATCTTCACTTTTAATGTAAAAAACTGCTTCCATCGGTTTTAAACGGTTGTTAGTCCTTTTTAAGGGATAAATTTCGATTTACACAGGAAAATTTGACATTTTGATCGCATTTTTAGAAAAAATAATTATTTGTCGGAGAAAAAGTATAGTATGCAACTCATTTATAAACTTTTCTAGACGCTCATTACCTAAACACTCGCCCACAAGCTTGCTCGTGCCTAAATGAAATTCGTGACTAAAGTGGCGTTTATCAAACTTGATACATAAGTTACTATTTTAAAGCCTGATATAATTCCTTAATAAAAAAAAATAAGGATGATTTATATTTATTTTCTGGAGGGTTACCGGATGGGGTTTTCTTTAATGTTGTATGTCTCATTTTTTTGTCATTCAATAAATACTTATTTCTCAAAAATTTTACTACCTCTTTTTATTTTTTATTTTTCGTATTTTAATCTATTTTTACAAGTCTAAATGTAATAATGTTAAGTAGTTTTATCCAATCTAAGAATGATCTAAAGGGAACACGACGAACCAATTGCCAACAAGATTTGATGAACATGTCTCAATATTTTTATTAATTGTTCATCATCTTTTGCAGAACTAATAATAATAGTAAAACTGAAAGTAAATACAAGAGTTAAAATAAGGACTGGTGGACTGTTGGACGGCTGTGGCGCGTTATGTGCAGGTAATCAGCCGTATCGGGCAGATTGTTGGCTCGGAACCGAGAAGAGCGAGCAGGGTGGTTAAATCGTTGGAAATGCAAAACGTGTGTGTTTAGTGTCGCAGAGCGATGCGATGCCGTGCCACACAGGTAGCCTCTAACTGCGAGTCACGTTTCGCGAGACAATCCAACATATTGGGGACGTTGTTTGCGCTCTCTTGTCGTCGTCCGGCCCGACGACAACAAACAAAACCACACGCCAGTGCCGGGTCCGCAAATAAGATTTTTTCATTTACCAAAGTGCGTCAATTAGGGCCTTTACTAAAGAGAGATTTACAAGATTTAATGGACTTCCACTAACGAAGGCTTCAGAAGTTTCCAAATTGCAGTATTGCCACTGGCTCACTTTCCTCACTTTTTTCATAAAACCTCACTTTTGCTCACTTTTTTGTTGTTTTCTCACCTTTCTCACTATTTTCAAAATTTTCTTAGGTGAAAAAACCAAAATTCCTACTTTTTTGTGTTTTCTGCATTTATTTTTATATAAATGGAATCCACATTATGCAACCCAGTTTACAAAAGCAAACCGTTCTCCTAATGGCTGGATTTAAAAAGACAGTTGACAATATAGCTTATTTGTTTTAAGTAATGGCGTGACAGTTTTAAGCGTTTTTCAATATTTATTCTAAAAAACACATTAAACACCTGATCAGAGATTAAAGGAACAAAGCAGCAGATATATCCTAAAAGTTGCACAAGCTCTTCCTTTAAACATTTCACTGGGAAAGTTAATTGATGATTGGAATCTTTTGTGGTTAGAAGACGCAAACCTAGTAAACATAAACAAAGATGGAAAAATACTTCGCGTTGACCATTATTGGCGACAAATTTTTGAGTTAAAAGATCCTACTGGACAGCCAAAATACCCAGAACTACAGCGTCTAGTAAAAGCTGCCCTAACTTAAGCACATGGCAGCGCAGATGTCGAAAGACAATTTTCAGTTTCTGGTAAGACCCTAACAGATGATAAAGCTCGAATGAAAGCACGAACATTAAATGCAAAATTAAATATTAAAAGCGCATTGCGAAAATATGGTGGTAGAGTCGACCTAGTACCTATTTCTGCTGAGTTGTTAAGGTCTGCCTATTCCGCCAACAGCAAATATAAAGAACACTTGACTAATGAAAAGAAAAAAGAGGAAATAAAGAAAATTCAAGATAATAATGAAAAGGAAGAAGAAATTAGACAGCAAGCAGAAAGACGCATTTTAATGCAGAAGCAACATAAAAAATTAAATGCCCTTAAAACCGAATTAACAGAGGCAAAAAAAGAAAATAAATTAAAGAAAAATGCAACTGATAAACTTTTAAAAGAAACAAATGAACGACTCAAAAAAGCCTTAAGAAACAAGAACTTAGCAGAAATAGCAGCTGCTCAGGGGATGCTGGAAGGAGCCCACGCATTACGAAAAGATACCCAGAATTCGCAAGACGCAACCGATAAATTGCAATGCAAAATTAATAAAAGAAAATCGGAACTTACATATATCATCATTTCTCCCTCCAGCAAAGAAGCCAGATAGAGAACAGTAAACCAAAGTTTTTTTTATTTTTTTAATATGATGATTTTATTTATTTATTTTTGTTAAGACTAGAAGATGAAAATTTTATTTACTTATTTTTGTTAGAACTTTAGAAGATGAGAATTTTATTTATTTATTTATGTTAAGACTGTAAAATATGAGAATTTTATTGTCAAAATCATTTTTTGAACGTTTATAAGTTTTAAAAGACATTTTCACTGTTTTCATATAGGCGACTTTGATTATTATTCAATGTTTCTTCTGTTATCCCTTGACTCCGGTACTGCCAACTGCAAACAAGGAAAGTATGCCCGTAAAGGGCACGAGAAAGAAGCACCCGTCGACCCCGAGGTGAACTTTGCCGTTTTGACAACAACGACAATTCACCGGCCATTTGTCCACGACAGAAAAACAACCGCGATTGTCCCTTTCGGAACCGAATAACACGATCCTACTACATACTTTAGCTGTATACGTCGCAAGTAGTTTTATCCTAGATGATATAAGATACCCTAACCATTCCAAGTCTTGATACTAGAAGAATATTTAGGAGCAAAAGTAAATGAACCTAATTTCTGAAGCTTTTAAATGTCCTAGTTTTATTGTAGTGATACTAAAAAAATGCTGGTTTAGACATTAAGAGCAAGCTAAAATAACAAGATAAAATCATAACAAGGTAACAAGCCAAGCATAAATAAAGACAAGCTTAAGTAAAAACACTAAATAACGACAAGCTATAATGAAGACAAATTATGAAAAATTAAATGGGCTTACTGGGAATACTGATCAAGTCAAAATTTTAAGCTAAATAAACTTAAAATGAGGATAGCAATTGCTTAAGCTATTTGTGTATGACAACAAACTAAACGCAATCGTATTTTAATTATGTTATTTTTTGTCATGTGACACAAATCACCCAATCATTTCAACATTTAACTGATAACAACACTCAATCACTATGACACCAAGACTTAAATAAATAAATAAATAAATTTCAATATGTCACGTTTTGGCAATTTGAATTTTAAAGCTATAAACGCGCTTATTAAAAAAAACATTTCCAAAAATACTACAAGTAGTCATAAATATACGTGGGGGATATTTAAATAGGTCAATGCAGAAACTGAATATGTCCACTTTTTAGGGCTATTGAGTTAAACATGGATTTACTATAAGTAAAGGGAGCCCGATCGAATGGCGTAGAAATTTCACATGTCACGGTAATCTAGAATATACAAAGGCGTTAATATAGTAGAGAAACTGAATATGTCCAGAACATATGTCCACTTTCTGTTCAGTTTTTCTTATTTATCTCAAAACTAGATAGGTAGGACATATTCAGTTTCTGCATTGACGTATTCATTTATGGAGTTTTGCAAATATTATTTAAACGAGAATAGAAGCGAAGAAGAACTGGCATTAATATTAAAAGATTGGGAGGTCAATACGAGGAAGAAAGATGGGACGAATTTAAAGAAGCCACTGTTAAGACCATGTGGAAAGTTACGTGTAAACTTTTGCAACAGAAATACTTTAATGAATATAAGCTAATGATTGACCAGTGTAACAGCATAGTATTTACATAAACCTGCCCGAGATGCCCGCGATGCAACCAGAAAGAAACTGCAAGCATAGTCATGTAAACGTAAGACCAGTTCAGTTTTATTAAGTTTGTCTGAAATAAACCAAATAATATGTACTTTTAATAAATAAATAATCGTTGTGTTGCGAGTTATTTGATTTTTTTATCAAACCGAATATCCCTCTGACATTGACAAATGGCTCATAACGAGACCTTTAAAACTTTAAAAGTTGAACAAATGATTGTCAATTAGGTTGTCTAAAACACATTAATTAGGTCGTACATCAACCATATGTCCAATTTCATATACATTTTATTGATTTTAAGAAGGCATTTGATACACTTAAACGGAAAAGGATGTGGACTATTTTTAGCTTTTATGGCGTACCCAACTAGAAAAGGGAGTTCTTTAAGGCTGTAGGATGTCACCCGTACTCTTCATAATAATTATGGATTGGGTTATGGAAAGAACAAAAGATGGATGGATGGCCTCCTGGCGATAAAACAAAATCATAAACTAGAAAAAAACAAGAAGAAAAACTGGTCACAAATAGTGAAACTGAAGATAGTATAATAGGTAATGAAGAAATAGAAGAAGTAAATGAGTTTTGTTAATTGGGAAGCATATTAAGTTTGAGGTGTAACGGAGAAGGATATAGGAAGAAGAACAGAACTATTTTAAAATGCTGAATAAACTATGGTCATCATCAATCCTTTATAGAAAAACCAAAATTAGAATATTCAGATCAAATGTAAAAAGTATTCTAATGTATGGCGCAGAAACATGAAAAATTTTACTTACACAGGAAAATTTAAACTTGTGCGGTAAATGCATGGGGAATTACAGGGAAGATAAAGTGTAAAAAATAATTAAGAAGAGTAAATAATCCATCGTACACAAACTAAGGAAAAATAACAAAATCATAGGCCGAAAAGCATTTAACTATGAGATAATAGAATAAGACCTAATAACACATGGAGAAGAACCTTTATTGAAGAATTTCAAAACAAGGTTTAACTTGGATAAAAACAAAAAATATGGCAAAGGACAGACAAATATGGAAATAATTAGGATGTATCTTTTTGTCTTAAGCTCCAGAAACACCTTGACAAATGCCGTTTGCTCCCTAGCAGTTATAGGAAGAAGAAGAAGAACAAACACCAGCCTTGGTGTTTGGTCATTCTGACTTGGTCGATTTTGGCCCACGATATCTTCATTCCATTTTTAGATGTATCATATTATCATAATCATAAAAATAATGCGCCACGACCAAGCTTTTAAACGCTTACAATTTTAATATTTAAATCAATTTTAATTACAAGTATATAATACAAGGATGTATTCGCAGCGAAAGTGAACAAATGGTTATTGGCGGAAGCCGGGGTCGGCTGCCTCCGGACGAAAGTGAAAGATCGACGTTCATCTTCGCATCGCAGAAGACCAAGAGAACAAGAGAAGAAGGAAAAGGAAGAACCGCGAGAACAAGCAGATCATCGCACAGTAACACCAACAATCAACTAACACTTTAATTACAATATTACCAAGTCACGTTATTTTAATAAATGATATTAAGCCAACCGTAATTACCATAACATTACCGCCAGGGTATTTAGCCAGGTTTTTAGCACGGAAAAGCATTGTTTAAATTGACCACATGTCAGAGCTAATATCAATTTGATTGTATTAAGTTTCAAGTAAAAGTAAATGAGATATGAGAAACATGAATTAAGCTTTCATGGTTTATCAATTTTTGTACAATGTAGATAATAATGTGATTATTTCGACGTTGATATATCAAAAACAGTGCGTAGATAAACTTAATTTCTTAAATAATAATGAAGCACCATTCCAAGACATTGTACATCGATGGTTTTTAGGCTTTAGTTTATTGAAGGACAATTTTTGTGATGGTCCTTCAGAAAATATCGATGCTTTGTTTGGAAACTGATATTGTAAGATCATTACGTGACTTATCATGAGGTTGGGTTATCTTTTGGTACTACCATGACAAGCAATACTCGTGAATAAAATATTGCATAAAAATTTAGGGGTTAAAAATATGATATGTTCAAAAATACAATCGCGGTATACTAAGACCTGTGTATTAAAGGTACTAATCGTGGTGTAAAAAGTGCTACAAAAATTGATTTATATGAAACTATAAAACCGTTCTGTAACTCTTGTAAAATGACTTACTGTACATTTGTAGGAGTATAACATTTATAATATCAAAATCGATTTATGTACTAGTTAACTAAAGCTTTATTGCAACCATTTCAAAACCAAAAATTTCCAACTTCTAGACGAAATAATTTTTTTTAGTTTCTAGTGTAACATTGGAAACTAATTGTGTTTCTCAGTCACAAAGCCAAAGCAAAATTTCTCTACATAACTTACTAATATATAGTACACGAGCATCGAACAAGTGCATATTCTGGTGTGCATTGTTCACTTTATACAGTGCACAATTATCAATGTTATAGATTTATCAGCGTGCCGTGGCGGACGTATTGCTCCATCAATAGTTGAAATGGTTGGTTGAAATTTGTGGTAGCCGCAAGAACGCTTCCTAGTGCACATTCCGATGGCAGCGCAAGCGGGGGGTATAATATAATCTAATATACCTACTGTACGTTGTGAATGCAGCGGGAGAAACAAAAACCCAGAGCGCATGGCGCAGCATGTCGTCCCAGTCCACTTAATTGACCAAGATTATTATTATTATGCAATATGAAATCGAAATTCTGAGTTATTTTACGTCGTCATCGAGCGATATAGATTAGATTATTCTTCGGTTTCTGGATAGAAGACAAGTTACAACTTACAACAATACTCTCCTTTTTATCATTATACAGGGTGTTTTTTAGTAACAGTAAGTTTTTAATGGAGGAAAATGAAAGGTAAACTAACAAGTTAATGATGGTAAGCTAAAATGAAGACAAGCTGAAATGACGAGCTAAAAATATGATCAGCTATGCCGAGTGCATCCAAACGCATTAAAAGGGGTATATTTTGCAGTGGCTTCAAGCATCATTTGTGTTTTGCATTTGCTATGCTATACTTCGTAATACATTATTAATTCCTCTTATTTTATATCAAGATTAGGTACTATTTCTACTAAAGTGCATGCTGAAGTTAGTTTTGGATTAATTAATTTTGTATATAGAAAATAGATACAGGGTGTCACTTAATAAATTGTCAAAATCGGTTAGTAGGTACTTTGTTATCATTGATTACTGACAGGTTGTTATTATAGTTTCTCTGGGGCTACATGAACAGTTTAGTGTACCAGAGCGAAGTTGACACATTAGAACAACTCCGCGAACTTGTCACTGCAGCGGCAGATGAAATCCGAAATCATCTGGATATGATAGCAAGAGCGACACATCATAATTTTCTACGCCGCTGTCAACTTTG